AAAAAAAAAGTCACCGACGAGGGCGTCCGTAGACGAGGCAGTCGCACCAGCATGGGCTGGAGCGTGAGCTGTACAGCAGCTACCAACGGCGGCCCCACGACCCCGCCGTCCTCCACGCCGAGTGCGGACCCTACGAACACGTCGGAGCCTGAAGGCGGGGAGTGCGGGGTTGCTGTTGGTGGAGGCCGAGCGGCGACGGGGCCGCGCTATAGTGGCAGTGGCTGCGGCGACGCATTCATCCGAGGAGCCCGCGGCGAAAGCGACTCCTCGACCAGAGCGGAACGCAGGGACCGCATCGCGGGGCGTCGTGTCCGCCGCGGGCGAGCCCGCTCCTGACATTCCACCGGCGGCACGAACCCCTCCCTGCGGGGCCGCAACAGCATCGCTGGAGGGGCGCATGCCTACCAGCGGGGACGGAGAGGGGCTCAGACCACGCGGGTCGGCCAGCAGGCGCTCGCGAGCGCGGGCAGGGATCGACGCGACGGGGCCCTGGATCCGATTGCACGAGAAGCGTCGGGGCCTCGCTGCAATGGCAGCGGCTGCGGCGACGCCTTCACCCGAGGAGCCCGCGGCGGGGCCGATGAGGCCTGGAGGTGATCCCGCTGCTTGAGTGCCCGCTGCGTTCCGAGTGCAAGTGCCCCGAGGCGTGGGGATCGCAGCTTCGGTCGAGGCACTGCGGACGGGCGTTTCTGGCGCGTCCACCACGCTACCGATGGCAGTGGGCGCCCTCGCTGTGGTGGGACTGCTCGCAAGCGAGACTGCGTGCACAGCAGGGGGTCCCCCGAACATCGCTGGGGGCCCGCCAGTGGCGCGTCTGGGAGCAGAATCCGCGCCCGAAGCGCTCGAAGCGACCCCCCGCCCACCGACCCCCATCGTGGCAGCAGGGGGGGCGTCGAGGATGACTCGCGAGCAACCGCTGCGCGGGCCGCCCAGGATGCACCAGCGGTGGCGCCTGGCTCCAGTGCAACCGCCACATCGTGGCGCGGCGGGCCCATCGGGGGCGTGGATGGACCCCCGCTTAGACCGAGCGTCTGCGAAATGTCGCGGATGGTGACACCGAGCCGTCGAGGTACCGCCTGGCGTAGCGACCAGGTGAATACTGCTGACAAGCGCCGGAGTCCCAACCAAGGCAGCGGTCGCGCAGACGTGCGTCGACGGCGGCGCCACGGCGGCGGACTCCAGGTTCGGTTGTGCAGTCAAAGAGACCGGGCGAACATTGCTAGGGTGGAGAGACGGGTGCGTATGAACTCCCGCCTGTGGGTCGGCGAGGCCCGGCGGCGGCCCAACCCGCCCGACGTGGGAAGGCGAGCCACCACCGACAGGAGGCGACTCCGCACTCACGGCGGCTCCGCCAGCCGCGCGGTCCCCGACGGCGGCCGTGGGGCGCCAAAACGGCAGTGGCGACGACCCGGTGCACGGCAGACGCTCGCCGCTAAGCCACGGACCCCCACCCGCTGCATCGGACGCGCGGGAGTCGACCAACGGCGGCACCCGTGCGCCAGCTTCCAAGCCGGCGAAGCCTGGTGGCGGAGCCACGCTCTGAATGTCGGAGCCCGTGTGCGGGTCCCACGCGTGCATCGGCGGCAGAAAGGAAGTGCGCACCAGAGGGTGCGAAACGTGCTTCTCGATGAAAGTCCACTGCGAGTTGGCACCTCCGGACAGGTGAACCCCATATGTCGGAGCGATGGCGATCATGGAATTTGACGGGGGCGCGCGAGCACCAGCCTCCACGTCAGCGAGAGTGGGGAACGGCCCCATCGCGAGCGGGGCGCCCTCCAGCCCAGCGAAGCCTGGCGGCGAGTCCGCCTGCAAGCTCATGGAACGCGGTGGAGGATCCAGCCCTGGAGGCGGGCGGGGGCGTTGCACCGTACTCGCCAGCCCAGGCAAGTCGGGCGGCTCGCGCGCTGGAGCGTCCCAGCCAGGATAGGGCGGAATCGTCGTAGCGCCGCCGGCGCCCCACCCCGCGGGACAGGAAAAGCCTTCAGCGACCTCGAAGCCACAGGTGTCCGCACGAGGGCTGCTCCGCCAAGCATCAAGGTTGAGCCAGGGCGAGGCGGCGAGGGGAGGAGAAGGAGTAGCGAGGAGGTGGAGGTTAGAAGGGTCCACCAACTCCGGCTCCTCCTCCCATAGCGCGGTTGTCTTCGCACCGTTGGCGCCTGTGCCCTCTGACGGGCGGCTCTGAGGGATGCTCTCATCGGCAGTGGCTTCGCTGGCGGCACGACTGGCAGGCAGAGACAGTGCGCCGTCTGGGGCCAACGGGAGGCGGGCGTAGGAGCTGTGCGCCGGAGCACCTCGTGAGACATTGGACTGATCAGGTGCCGCAGCACATGGCGTGCAAGCTCCACCTCTCCTTCCTCCGGTCCTCCCATGAGTCTCCAACACCGCCACCCCAGAGGAAGAAGGGGAAGAATGGCGGGAGAAAGGAGGGGGAGGTGGAGGAAGGTTTTGCTGCAGAGGAGGCGGCGGGCCCGTCGGGGGGCACCAGCGCGGCGGGTCGGTACCGCGGAAAGCTGGGAGTGCAGCCGCGGACGCCATGGGCCAGGAGGCCGTTGGCGACAGGCGCCTGTAGGACAGGTGGCCTGAGGGGCGCGCGAGCGCCCCGCCTGCAGGCAAGCGGCGTGCAGGAAGGAGTGGCGCGAGCCAACCCGAACAGGGAGGCAACCCCGTGCCGTCACCGACTGGCTGCTCGGCGCAGTCGGGCTCGCCCCACACGAGAACGGATTGACGGGAAAGAGGGCCCCGTGCAATACCGCGCTCGAGGGGGGAGAGTGGACCACCGCCTTGGGCGGCGGCCCACGCGTGGTCCGAGAAGAAAGCCGCCGCCGCGTAGAATTCGATGGACACCTGAGCAGCGGGGGCCGGCGCAGGCTCCCGGCGCCCCTGGTCGCGCGGGCGCGGGAGGGGCGGCGGGGGCCGAAGCGGGGCAAGCTCGGGCCGAGAAGCTGCAGACGACTGCAATCAGCGGGCGCGATGGGGATAAGAACGCGATGGGGATAATAAGAAGCATCCCCGCACGAAGAAGAAGCATGATGACTATGAGGAGGATGAGGAGGACGAGGAAGAGGAGGAGGCAAAAGGAAGAAGAGGAGGAGGGAGAGGGGCGGGAATAAATGGAGGCGAAAGGGAGGGCGATGGCTCCGGGAGCTGGGCGGCCAAAGGGGGGAAGGGAGGGGGGGGCTTCAAGCCCCCCCTTTTGCACCAAGGGAGGGAGGGGGGGGGGCTTCCAAAGCCCCCCCCTTTCAAAGCGGGGGTGTGGCTCACCCCAGCTCCATTAAAAGGAGGGAGGGGGGGGGGTAGCTTGGAAGCCCCCTCCCCCCTTTCCGGCCAGGAAAAGGGAGGGGGGGGGGGTAGCTTCCGAAGCCCCCGCCCTTTCAAAGGGGGGGGGGTGGCTCACCCCGGCTCAACTAGAGGGAGGGAGGGGGGGGTAGCTTGGAAGCCCCCCCCCCCTTTCCGAACCACGAAAAGGGGGGGAGGGGGGGGGGCTTCCGAAGCCCCCCCTCCCCCCTTTAGCAAGGAAGGGGGGAGGGGGGTAGCTTCAAGCTGGGGCCCCCCTTTTAGTCTATCGGGCCCCACGAGCGCGCTCTATCATTCCTTTCTATCCGGTCAGGCACGCCACCCCGTTTGGGGTTACAAAATCATGACAGGCTCAGGGGGGCAAGGGGAGGGGGGCAAGTTGGCGCGCGTGAGTCGTAGCATCACATCGCAGCGCCATTATACCCCAAACGGGGAGTCGCGCCCTCCGCGGGGGCAAACGCAGGGTGGGCGGGGTATGGAGCGGCGGAGGTTCGTGCGCGCACCGCCCCGCGCGCTTGAAAACATAGCGCGTCTGTGACAGGCCTAGAAACGTGGCGGAAGTACGCCTGTAATTATCTCGCACGCACACAGTGCACATGCTCACGGCAGTGCTTGTGTGCACAATCGTGCTTGCGTACAGCACCGTGCCTGTACACGCAATCAAGTACGCACCACAACGACGTTGTACATCACAACTGCCGGTGCAACAGCATGTGTGTGCGCGCGCCAAAACGCCTGTGCGCAACACGATGTGAACACCACAGCTGCCGTGTGCACCACAGCGCCCGTGTACACCACATTGCCTGGGTACGCCCAAGAGCTTGTGTGGACCTCCGAGGTCACGGCGGGGCTTGAATCTGCAATAACTCCTGGGGGAACCGAGCGTGTCAGCTTCAATCTGCGATGAATGTGTGATTCCTGATCTTTCTGACCAAACGTACCATTCTTCCCGGGTTGGGCCCAGAACGCTTCTACACCGCGCTGCACGACAATTATGGTGTCCACCACAACTGCCGCAGCGGCATCTGCGCGCACCACAACGCCTGTGTACACCAAAAAACCTGCGTGCACCTCCAATGTCTCGGCGGCCTGCGGATTGGCGTAAGCATATGAGAAACAGCAACGCAAACGAACATAAAGAGGCTCAGGGATAGGCAAATAAATAAACACAAACCCTGGGATTCCCGATATTTCCAATGTTTTCTAAATGGTTGTCTTCCCTTCTACTTCCCACATGTTCAACATTTTCATTGGGATCGACGATTGCTTGAGTCTGTGCTGGCCTTCTTTATATGCGATACATCCACGCAAACAAACATGTACTGTTGTTTGGTGGCGTAGCCCCCCTGTGTCGGAATTCCCCGCACGGGTGTGACATCAGCGAGCGGCCTAATCGCAGGCACGCGGTGGGATCCCCAGGACATATCAGTTGGCACAGCGATGCCCGTGACCACAAATGGGTCTGCTGGTGCCCTGGGGCCCGTTGGGATTCGAGCAGGCGGGGTTAGGATCCACAGGCCGCTGGCAGTGAGCCTGCAGGGCAGCAGCGCTGAACTGGAGAGTATCGTCGATATTTTGTCGAGATCGCTGGACCTCCAGGTGAAATGCTGCTTGTTCTCATGTCGACCGCCAAAACGGCTGGGACGCGCGCTGGTCAGCCTCGATCACAACAATGACGGGGAAAGGAGACGAAAACACTTTTTCTTGGCGGCGCAAAGGCGCTCAATACCGCATAAGTCTGGAAACAGATACGTCCAGTCGACGCGCTGCTTGTATTACGAGTGATTAAATTGCATCAAAATGGATTACATAACCAATACGCCTTCCAGCCAAGACCAGAGATAAAGGCTAAAGGACACAAAAACATAGTGCGCCTACGTACAAGGACACCTGCGACTTAGTGCGCATGCCGAGATTCGACAAGTGCACCTGCAACCTAGTTACGAGCAGACGGCACTCCCTTGAAGGGGAACGTTAGAGGGGAACAGCTCATGGGGGACACATCTACCTGGAATGAGGGAGTCAGCGCCGATAGATCGGCGATCGGCCTGTGGGCTATCAGGACCCTTTCGGCGATGACTGGGCGTTTGGGGGTCGATGCACCTCCGTCCGAGCCTATCCCCCCCTAATGTTGCCTCTGATCCCTCGGGCCTCCTAGATGGGGTCCGAGAAAATGAGGTCAGAGGATCGGGCCGCATCGCCAACGCATCGCCGATGCATCGATGACGTCGGCGATGCAGCGGCGATGTCCGCGTGGAGAAGACTGGGCTCCGCATCACCGATTCATCGGCGATGCGGGGCGATCCTCCGACCCCATCTATTCTGAGAGACCTAGGCTTGACTGAATACAAAAAGACAGCTTGACTAGCCCATCCGCCCTGCGGGCGCGGCAGGCAGGCCAAAGACTCGGGGGCGACGATGGAAGCGAATAGCCCAGGGGGGAGCAATACATGTATCTGGAGGCGCCGGGTGTCCATGTCTTCGGCGAAGCTCCAGAGCGAATGCGTGTAATGCCCGCCTCTAGGCTATGCACCCTTATCGTAGCCTCGGAAAGGCTGCTGCGCGGACGTAAGCTGGCGATCGCGCAGGCTGGTTCGACGCGCACTCATCAATCCCACGTGGCCTCCGCAAACCTGCCAGTCTGAAAATTCGCAAGGACACCCTGGCGTCCGCCACCTATCAGGTTCGCGGTGTAGTCGTCCTCCTCGTCGATGGGGCAGACGCACATCATGTCCTTCCCTCTCATTCGCATCTTATCAATAAGGTTGGCGGCCGCTTCGTTGTCGTTCATTGACCCACCTGGTACGCGATTGCTCGCGCGCTCCTCTTTGATCTTCTGCCAACGAACCTTCCAGCCTGGCGTTGAGTTGGGACCTTTCTTCGCGTCCAACCCGTCCCTGTGACGCTGGCACTCTGGCGTGACGTCCTCTAGCGACTCGGCGTGCGCATCGAACCCAAGAAGGCCGCCAATGTCTGCACGACCGAGTGCGCTCAAGCGCCGCACAGCCAAATTCAGGTGCTCCTGCATGGGGAGGTCTTGGCGGACGACGATCATCGCGGAATCTTTGCTCCGCTTGCTCTGCATCATGATCTGAAGCTGCCCAGCTACGGTCGGCAATCCTTCCTTTACGCCCTTCCTGGTGCGCCACTGCGACTTGGACATTGTCACCCTGACGCCTTTCCTTGCCTGCTGCTCGAAAAGAACCATGTTTCCATCGGTCCAATCCGCAAGCCTCGTCCATGGAACATCTTCTGGCGTGCCTGGCTCCAGCACCCGGAGCCCCAAGAACTCGTCGCTTTCATTCTTGGTGTGCGACCTGAGATAGGAGCGCACCTGCACGACCGCCCCACCCATCCATGTGCCCGAGAGCTCAACCGCGGTGATGTACGTGGTGCATGGCTTCCCGTGCTCGGGGCGGATCGTTGCCTTAAGCTGCACCTCGGCGGCCCTTTCGGCGGCCTGCGGGATCCGGAGCAGAGTGAACTCGCCGCCGTGGTTGACGTCGAAATGCTCGCCAAGAAGGTTGACCAAATGCGGGTCACCCTTGGCCGACACCGTCGGGGCCGGGGTGGGCAGAGGAGAAGCAGGGGGGCCGATGCAACATCCGCCATTCCCGTAGCCGCTGCCCGAGTAGAAATCGAGAACCGTGTTGTCCCCACTGCACTGCTCGTCACACCTGTACCCGAGATCGCAGATTTCGATGCCACATCCGCACGGGTACTGATCGCTAAGCGAGATCCCATTGACCTGCGTGCAGGCAGAAACGATCGCGTCGTACTTGTTGAACTCCGCGTGCGCGCCGTGGTCCAGCACGAAAAAAGGCCCACTCTTCCGAAGCAGGGACTCATGGTATGGCGACAACCTTTGGGAATCATCGAAACCTATCTTGTCAACGATAATCAGTCTCTCGAAGTGGCCAGGGTTGCGCGTCGACATGGTGATCCCATCGCCCTTCTGCAGCAAGACCCCGCTCTCGTCTTCGGCCTTGTTGACAAATACTACGTCGGACCCAATCGCGAGTGGTTCCGTGAGCCACACTCCCGAGATGCAGTTATCGAAGTCGCCCAAGTCCACTTTGCCCGCTGGGCAGTCGCTACAGCCCTCCGAGCGGCGCCGCCGCGTGGCACCGGCGGGGCATTGCTGGCAGACGCTGGTGTCTTCCATGAAATAATATCCGTAGCTGCATTCAGCTGGGCCCTGAATTGGAAACCTAGGCATGTCATGCGAGTACGGCGAGTCCCCGCACTCTGCCTGGGTAACGCAGCCATCCCCGTCCGCGTCCATTTCGGTAAAATGTCCGTTGAGATTATCATCTTTGTCCACTTCTGCCTCCACTAGGCAACCATCACCATCTAAGTCAAGATAGGTAAACATACCACATGCGTCCTGGTCACAAGTGCACGGTGCCCCAGGTTCCATTGTCGGCGATGGGGTGGGAAGATACGTCTCGTAAGTGATGTTCGCCGTCATGTTGGACACTTCACCGTCGCATGCTATCGTCCACGTTGTGCTCCCAAGAGGGACACCATTGAAGTCAGAACTAGCGTGATGCCCAAAATATGTGCACTCCGAGTCAGAATCTAAATCCATGGTCGCTGTCATGTTTGGTGAGTCTGAGTCGAGAATCCATCGTGGCTGCTGGTATATCAAAGGTCGATCAATGCCATCACACGACACATCCCAATATATGTCCGCCACCTTTTACCTGAGGCACAGAACTGTCCTCAAGTCCTTCGGAATCTCTGTCTTGATCCATCGGGATTGAATACTTAAGCGCTGTTGCCAACAAGCTAAAATGTTCTGGGGCTTCCCGCATGAAGGGTTTCGACCCGCGTGTCCTCGCAGTAACTGTTCGAAACCAAGGGGGCCCCAAGAAGGCCCTCGAGGGCCACAAGAGGCCCCTAAGATGGTCAAAGAGGGGTACGAGTCGCCCGAAGATCGCTCCAGAACGCCCAAATCGCCAAAGAAGGCCTCCAGATGGCTCAAGCAGCTCCCCAAGACGCCCCAAGAAGGCTCCAAGAGGCTCCGTAGGAGGGCACCGAGAAGTTTGGTCGTTGAAAGGGTTCAGTGTTCCTGCCTTTTCGAGCTTTCGACGCTCCTAGGCGGTTCAAGAGGTACCGAAGAGGGCCCAAAGAGTTTGAAGGGGGCCGGGAGGCCCGACCAGAAGCTTCGCCTTAGGCGAAGCGCAGTTCCAGCTCTGTTGTATCGTAGCAGCGAGAATCCCAGTCGGAGGAGGTCGTCGCGGGAGCGACGGGCCATCCCAAGCAAAGGATGTATTCGGTCTCGATGGAAAGTAGTATGCCTCGCAATGAGGCGCAATCATATGTTGGCGGCCGGCCGCTTGGACACAAACGGCCGCGGACAAACGCTCGCTATCTCTCGCCCTTGTCCCAACCGACTTTAGAGTCGGGGGGAAGGGAGACGAACCGTAAGTCCCCCGCCCCTATACAGTAAACGCTATCTACACAAAAAACAGCAAAAGGCGGGTTCATAAATAAGGTGAACCCGCAAGCAGGTTGCGTTGCGAGCACATTGCTGTGCAAACGATTGCTCCTCAGGCGGCCTCAGACGATGCTGTCTGGCCAGCCCGATAAGGATATTGACGTTTTAAATCATGCTTGAAGGATTGGGTGCCCCCCATCACCTGTAGGAGCATATCTCTGTCAATGCTCCCCTTTGTGTGACCGTCCGCGGTCATGTCGCGAGTGTCACACCACTGGATGCTAAGCACGATTCCTAGCTCCATCATCAGTCGATTCCAACTGACGTGTCCCAAAAGAGTACACTCAGTCGGCTTCTTGAGGTCTTTGCTTGACAAGGACTAGAGGACATATTCAGCATCTACGGTCAAAGTCTCCTTAATGCGCAGGCCACCCATCTCCAGTATGTATTTCAACTGAGTGGGTGTTAGTGGCCCTGCGTGGAGTTCGTGCAGAGTCGCGATCGTGCGATAGCAGTCCTCCAAGTTGTGGGCTGCTGCTAAAAGTTTCAGCTGGATAGCTCGAGCGGACCTGCAAACGATGAGACTTGCAGTGCGCGTCGGTAAAACGGGCGACAGGCTTACCGGATGGCGCGTTCCCACGCCGTAGCAGGCTTGCCCCGCGAATACCGTAGCCTTTGACCTCGCCCACGGCAGTTCCACTCAGGCGTCGATCGCCGGAGTCGCTGTGCAGGTCAACTTCGCCCGTTGGACTCATCGATCGACAGGCGATCTTCTCAGGGCAGGCCTGCAGCTTCCTGGTAATCGCGTTCAGTCGTCGCACTTGTCTATTGGTCGGTTCTTGGACGCGTTGTAGAGAGACCACATATACCATCAACCACATTTGCGTGATTAATGCGCAAGCAAACGCGCCTCTGAGGCTGACGAACATGTCAGCGACACGATTGGATGCTTTGGCGTCGGCGTCTGCGCCCGTGAGTTCAGGATGTTGCATAGGACGGAGCTGTTAGATGTATTCATCTTGGTCCAGTGTAACATTGCCGTCCTTTGTGTACCTCACAGCAATTGGTATATGTGTGTTTGTTAAGTTTGCACTTGCCAAACGTGTCCTCAACGCACTTGGCGTACTTGTCGATGGTGTCCTCAGTACTGGCCATATTGACATCATCGACAAGTTTGGCTGTGAGCAGGTTACTGCTTGTCTCGAGCTCCTCGTCGTAGGACGTGGGTCTGAGACCAAAGCCTCTCGTCGTCCTTCTGAGCTTCAGTGAGAAGGCTCTGGGTGCGCCCATGGTGCCGGCGCCTGGATTGAGGCACTGCAAGCAGTGCTTCGACTCGTCGTAGCGCTCGCATCCTGGGAGGAATCGACGCGCCCATGCTGTTCCAGGCGGCAAGGTAAAGCACGCCATACGTTCCTCTTCGCTGGCTGCCTCAGCAAGTTCCTGGTCGGAAAACTCTTCGGGGAGTCATGATCCATTGCTTCTTGCACGCTGCCGCGCTTGCGACTTGGCCGCCGCGCTGTTCCTGAAAATGTTTCCACGTCGAAAGCATCGCGGTCCATGAAACCTCGAAGTACCGGGCGTAGTCTGATGGCGCGTTCTATCTCACCCATCTCGCTCTTTACGAACTTCCACTCATATACGTACCTCGAAGTCATGATGTTGGCCGCTTCAGGTAGATCTTGCATCTTGAACCACTTGTCGTCAAACCATGTCTTGAATTAAGTATATAGGGCCTTTGATACCTTAACGGGATTCGCCTGAATGTCGGCCTTCGCGAGGAGGTCGTCTTCCTTGACGGCCGTAGCTCGTTTTGCGGCGGCGGTGACATATACTCGCATGGTGGTCACGCGGTTGAAGTCTAATATCCCATGCTGTTGTTCGGCAAGGACCACTTTTGACATGTCTGCAGTAAAGCTGAGATCTATAGATTGACCATACTCGTCCGAGTCCAACCCGTAACTATGGTCTTCGTCCGTGGAGCATAGTGGGACATGATACGTCTCCTCGATGCCGGAATCGCGTGGATGACCCCCGTGGGCAGGTGCCCCCGCTGTTCTTCAGCTACCGTGACCCGCACACTGTTGTCAGTGATCATATGTGTGGGTACAGTGTAGAGGTCATCTAATGGATTTACCTCCGCTAGTTCCCTTTCTTCATGTAGTTCTGCGCATCACACTTCCATAATCTGTGCCTCAAGGTTCGCTCGCTTCTAATTCCCCATCGATCGTAGGGAGCCATCCATCTTCCTGTGGTGTCTCGGCTTCAGGGGCCTCTCTGGCGTTGTGGCCTTGCGTCGGCATGCCCGCCAGTTCCTCAGACTTTGTCATCTCTTGGTCGAAGCCCACTTGAGGTTGAGTGGACTTTAGGCACTTTATGATCCTCGAGTGTGCTGATCCAGTTATGCCGTGTATGTTCAGGGCAATTCCTTCTGCTTCATAGTAGTGGAAGCCTGGATGTAAGTCGTTGCCATAATGTACCAATGTGCAGTTGCCAGCGTAAATCACCGAAGGTACCTTGTGAGTGCCCTTAACTAACCTAACAGAAACTGCATTCTCGATACTGAAGAACTTCCAGATACGGTATTGCAGAACTATGTGTACTTTGGGAGATAGTCGGCTCGCACTGGCCATCTGAAGCGTTCCGTTTTGGTCGGGACATAGCCAAACGTCATAGCAGGTCTCCCCGCAGGTAGACTGGCAACAAATTTTAACACTGTCCGCAACGCAGTGTTGTCAGAGCTAAGCTCTCGGGCTATCAAAGCTTCAACGTATAGTGAATGTCGTGCGTCGCCGTATTGGACTTGCACATCATGGTTTCCCGCTCGAACAGGGACTTGACGCCTGTCGGGATCATTCCGTGCAGCCGGTCTGTGGCGGCCTCGCAGCCGGGCTCGCCAGTGTCCCTGGCGCGCCCAGCCGGCGCCTGGGAAAACTATGCAGGTTTCCCTGCGCCTGACGACAGAACCTGAGTGTTCGGCCTGTCTGGGCAAGCGCGAGCGGCCGCGGCGCGCGCCTGCCCCCGTCACTCATGTTCAAACGATGGGGGCGCCCAAATACCCGTGCCGTGCGCCGCTGGACCATTGCTCGAAGTGAGAATATCAAACTTCTCAGCGGCGCCATCTGCTCCTGCAGCTGCCCCTGCATTCGCTCCAGCAGGTGTCCCTGCCGCAGAGTCGGGCGGCATCCACTTGCTGCCCTCCTCGTGCATGGCCTGATTTACGTTCGCCTGCAAATTGCGCAGGGCGAAGTCCGGATCGGCCGGTGTAGGAACATTCCCATGGGTTGTGTTCCTGCGATGCCAAGTCTTGAGGGTGTTGTTGACCAGAGACTGGACCGTGAAACCAAATATCTCCTCATTCATGGAGAAGCAAATGCCCTTGGTTTCCTGAGACGCCATGTGCGCATGGGCATCGTTGGCGGCGGGTGTCCCCGCGCTGCTCGATGCAGGCTGCCCGTCTGTAGGCTCTGCGCCGGCTGCCTCCTTGACGGGCGAAAGTGCATCCTCACTGTGAGGATTGACTGTTATAGTGAATGCCATTGAGCCTTTATCCTCAGTTGCGGCTCCGTACTCGTCGACCTTGATCGCCGGGTGCCCTGGCGGCCTCTTCATCAAATCAATTACTCTGGCGCCTTTTCCAAGGAAGAGCTTATGCATCTCAGAGCCTGGAACGATCATCTTCTCGTGCCCCTGCTCCAGGATCAGGATCGCCCCCATGTTGGGCATAAACCTTAGACCCAGGATGGCGGGAATATTCTCGCCGGGACCTGCAGCCACGTTGGCCGAATAGGTGTCCAGCCTGGCCAAAGGGGGCTTCCCCGCGGGATCTCCCGTCTCCCTGCGTGCGATTTTGCATTGCAATGACTCGTCGCAGATGGCGGCGCCATTCCCCGCACCAGACACGTATAACCTCTTCGTCGAGTTCAGATTCTCGATGCCGTGTCCATGGGAGCGTGACACGCGCTCGAATGTCTGTGCAGTCTTCAGACCAAATCTGTGCAGTCTTCAGACCAATGATACTGATGTTGCTGCCGATGCCCATTAGGATAGTCAGCATGCCATCTACCATGGCCCCACAGTTCGCTGCCAGGGCCGGCTCGTGGCGTTCACCAACTATCCCTGGCACTTCGGGCAGTGCTGTGCCATGCGTGCCTTTACGGCGTCGCTGTTCCAGCACCCAATCGTTCCTTGTCAAGGACGTGAAGACGTTCATGTGCCCTCGTGCATCTTCTTCTGTGATGGGATGTTTCT